GAACTGACACAGCTTCTGTCAAAAGTGTGTTATGGCCGTAACAGGATAAAGTAGCCACTATACCCATCGGTATGAGGTACTGACACAGCTTCTGTCGCAAAGTGTGTTATAGCCGTCTGTAACGGGATAAAGTAGCCACTATACCCATCGGTATGAGGACTGACACAGCTTCTGTCGCAAAGTGTGTTATGGCCGTCTGTAACGGGATATGAGTAGCCACTATACCCACTGTACTGACACAGCTTCTGTCGCAAAGTGTGTGTTATGGCTGTCGGTAACGGGATAAGTAGCCACTATACCCATCGGTATGAGGAACTGGACACAGCTTCTGTCGCAAAGTGTGTTATGGCTGTCGGTAACAGGATAAAAGAGTAGCCACTATACCCATCGGTATGAGGAACTGACACAGCTTCTGTCGCAAAGTGTGTTATGGCTGTCGGTAACGGGATAAAGAGTAGCCACTATACCCATCGGTATGAGGTACTGACACAGCTTCTGTATAAAGTGTGTTATGGCCGTCTGTAACAGGATAAAAGAGTAGCCACTATACCCATCGGTATGAGGTACTGACACAGCTTCTGTCTTAAAAAGTGTGTTATGGCCGTCTGTAACGGGATAAAAGTAGCCACTATACCCATCGGTATGGGAGTACTGACACAGCTTCTGTCGCAAAGTGTGTTATGGCTGTCTGTAACGCCCTATATACCCATCGGTATGAGGTAGCACAGCTTCTGTCGCAAATATGGCCGTCTGTAACAGGATATAAAGTGGCCACTATACCCATCGGTATGAGGTACTGACCACAGCTTCTGTCGCAAAGTGTGTTATGGCTGTCTGTAACAGGATAAAAGTAGCCACTATACCCATCGGTATGAGGTACTGACCACAGCTTCTTCTGTCGTAACGGGATAAAGTAGCCACTATATCGGCCGTCTGTAACTTCTGGGATAAAGTGTGTAGCTGTCGGTAACGGGATATACCCATCGGTATGAGGTACTGACACAGCTTCTGTCTTTTATGGCTGTCTGTAACGGGATGTAGCCACTATACCCATCGGTATTACTGACACAGCTTCTGTCGCAAAGTGTTATTGGCTGTCGGGATAAAGTAGCCACTATACCCATCGGTATGAGGTACTGACACAGCTTCTGTCGCAAAGTGTGTTATGGCTGTCGGTAACAGGATAAAGAGTAGCCACTATACCCATCGGTATGAGGTGCTGACACAGCTTCTGTCGCAAAGTGTGTTATGGCTGTCTGTAACAGGATAAAGAGTAGCCACTATACCCATCGGTATGAGGTACTTCTGACACAGCTTCTGTCGCAAAAGTGTGTTATGTAACTGTCGGTAGCCACTTCTGGATAAATGAGGTCGGCTGACACAGCTTCTGTCGCAAAGTGTGTTATGGCCGTCTGTAACAGGATAGGTAGCCCACTATACCCCATCGGTATGAGGACTGACACAGCTTCTGTCGCAAAGTGTGTTATGGCTGTCGGTAACGGGATAAAGGTAGCCACTATACCCATCGGTATATACCCTTCTGTCGCAAAGTGTGTTATGGCTGTCGGTAACAGGATAAAGGTAGCCACTATACCCATCGGTATATACCAGCTTGTCGCAAAAAGTGTGTTATGGCTGTCGGTAACGGGATAAAGAGTAGCCACTATACCCCATCGGTATGAGGAGCTGACACAGCTTCTGTCACTAAAGTGTGTGTTATGGCTGTCGGTAACGGGGGCCACTATAATGAGTACTGACACAGCTTCTGTCTATGTCAGTAACGGCCACTATACCCATGAGGTACTGACAGCTTCTGTCGCAAAGTGTGTTATGGCTGTCGGTAACAGGATAAAGAGTAGCCACTATACCCATCGGTATGAGGTACTGACACAGCTTCTGTCGCAAAGTGTTTTATGGCTGTCGGTAACAGGATAAAGAGTAGCCACTATACCCATCGGTATGAGGAACTGACACAGCTTCTGTCGCAAAGTGTGTTATGGCTGTCGGTAACGGGATAAAGGGATAAAGAGTACTGACACAGCTTATCAAAAGTGTGTTGGCTGTCGGTAACAGGATAAAGTAGCCATACCCATCGGTATGAGGAACTGACACAGCTTCTGTCGCAAAAGTGGTTATGGCTGGTAACAGGATAAAAGAGTAGCTTCGGTATGTCGAACAAAGCTTCTGTGTTGTGTTATGGCTGTCGGTAACAGGATAAAGAGTAGCCACTATACCCATCGGTATGAGGTACTGACACAGCTTCTGTCGCAAAGTGTGTTATGGCTGTCGGTAACAGGATGGGATAAAAGAGGGTAGACCACTATACCCATCGGTATGAGGTAGGAACTGACACAGCTTCTGTCGCAAAGTGTGTTATGGCTGTCGGTAACTGGATAAAGAGTAGCCACTATACCCATCGGTATGAGGTACTGACACAGCTTCTGTCAAAGTGTGTTATGGCTGTCGGTAACGGGGTAGCCACTATACCCATCAATGAGAGTACTGACACAGCTTCTGTCACTGTCGGTAACGGGATAAAAATCGGTACAACTTCTGTAAAGTGGTTATAGTAGCCACTATACCCATCGGGTACAGCTTCTGTCGCAAAATGGCTGACACAGCTTCTGTATATAAAGTGTGTTTATGGCTGTCGGTAACAGGATAAAAGAGTAGCCACTATACCCATCGGTATGAGGTACTGACACAGCTTCTGTCGCAAAAGTGTGTTATGGCTGTCGGTAACAGGATAAAGCCAGTAGCCACTATACCCATACGTATGAGGAACTGACACAGCTTCTGTCGCAAAGTGTGTTATGGCTGTCGGTAACAGGATAAAGACTAGCCACTATACCCCATCGGTATGAGGTACTGACACAGCTTCTGTCGCAAAGTGTGTTATGGCTGTCGGTAACAGGATAAAGAGTAGCCACTATACCCATCGGTATGAGGTACTGACACAGCTTCTGTCGCAAAGTGTGTTATGGCTGTCGGTAACGGGATGTATACCCATCAAAGTACTGACACAGCTTCTGTTATGGCTGTCTGGTAACAGTGTGTTATAGGATAAAGAGTAGCCACTATACCCATACGTATGAGGAACTGACACAGCTTCTGTCGCAAAGTGTGTTATGGCTGTCGGTAACGGGATAAAGAGTAGCCACTATACCCATCGGTATGAGGTACTGACACAGCTTCTGTCGCAAAGTAAAGGGATGTTATATAATGTCGGTAACGGGATAAAGAGTAGCCACTATACCCATCGGTATGAGGTACTGACACAGCTTCTGTCGCAAAAGTGTGTTATGGCCGTCTGTAACAGGATAAGGCCACCCAAGAGTACTAGCTTCTGTCCACTATATGGCTGTCTGTAACAGGATCGGTATGAGGTACTGACACAGCTTCTGTCGCAAAGTGTGTTATGGCTGTCCGGTAATCGGGATAAAGTTATGGCTGTCGGTAACAGGATAAGAAGTAGCCACTATACCCATCGGTATGAGGTACTGCCCACAGCTTCTGTCATAAAGTGTTATGGCTGTCTGGTAAAGGGATGGCCACTATACCCATCGTATGTAACGACACAGCTTCTGAATAAAAGTGTGTTATGGCTGTCGGTAACGGGATAAAAAAGTAGCCACTATACCCATCGGTATGAGGTACTGACACAGCTTCTGTCGCAAAGTGTGTTATGGTCTGTAAGTAACAGGATAAAGTTATGGCTGTCAGTAACGGGATAAAGCCACTACTATACCCATCGGTATGAGGAACTGACACAGCTTCTGTCGCAAAGTGTGTTATGGCTGTCGGTAACAGGATAAGAGTAGCCACTATACCCATCGGTATGAGGAACTGACACAGCTTCTGTCGCAAAGTGTGTTATGGCTGTCGGTAACGGGATAAAGAGTAGCCACTATACCCATCGGTATGAGGTACCGACACAGCTTCTGTCGCAAAGTGTGTTATGGCTGTCGGTAACGGATAAAGTAGCCACTATACCCCATCTGACACAGCTTCTGTACCAAAGTGTGTTATGGCTGTCTGTAACAGGACCGAGCCACATACCCATCGGTATGAGGTACTGACACAGCTTCTGTCGCAAAGTGTGTTATGGCTGTCGGTAACGGGATAAAGAGTAGCCACTATACCCATCGGTATGAGGTACTGACACAGCTTCTGTCGCAAAGTGTGTTATGGCTGTCGGTAACGGGATAAGTAGCCACTATACCCATCGGTATGAGGTACTGACACAGCTTCTGTCGCAAAGTGTGTTATGGCTGTCGGTAACGGGATAAAAAGAGCCCAGCCACCACAAATTATGAGCCACTACTTACATCGGTATGAGGTACTGACACAGCTTCTGTCGCAAAGTGTGTTATGGCCGTCTGTAACAGGATAAAAGGCTTTAGCCACTATACCCATCGGTATGAGGAACCGACACAGCTTCTGTCGCAAAGTGTGTTATGGCTGTCGGTAACGGGTAGCCACTATACCCATCGTATGAGGTACTGACACAGCTTCTGTCGCAAAGTGTGTTATGGCTGTCGGTAACGGGATAAAGAGTAGCCACTATACCCCATCGGTATGAGGTAACATCGGTGACACAGCTTCTGTCGCAAAGTGTGTTATGGCTGTCGGTAACAGGATAAAGAGTAGCCACTATACCCATCGGTATGAGGTACTGACACAGCTTCTGTCGCAAAGTGTGTTATGGCTGTCTGTAACGGGATAAAGAGTAGCCACTATACCCATCGGTATGAGGAACCGACCCCAGCTTCTGTCGCAAAGTGTGTTATGGCTGTCGGTAACGATAAAGAGCAGCCACTATAACGCATCGGTATGAGGAACTGACACAGCTTCTGTCGCAAAGTGTGTTATGGTGTCGGTAACGGGATAAAGAGTAGCCACTATACCCATCGGTATGAGGAACTGACACAGCTTCTGTCGCAAAAGTGTGTTATGGCTGTCGGTAACTTCTGGGATAAAGAGCGTCTGTAACGGGATAATTAGCCTATACCCATCGGCGGGAGGTACTGACACAGCTTCTGTCGTGTTATGGCTGTCGTAACGGGATGAGTGCAGCCACTATACCCATCGGTATGAGGTCGACACAGCTTCTGGTCGCAAAGTGTGTTATGGCTGTCTGTAACAGGACAAAGAGTAGCCACTATACCCATCGGTATGAGGTACTGACACAGCTTCTGTCGCAAAAAGTGTGTTATGGCCGTCTGTAACGGGAAGAGTAGCCACTATACCCATCGGTATAGGTACTGACACAGCTTCTGTCATAAAGTGTGTTATGGCTGTCGGTAACGGGATAAAGTAGCCACTATACCCATCGGTATGAAGACGCTTTCAGCTTCTGTCGCAAGTGTGTTATGGCTGTCGGTAACTGGATAAAGACTAGCCAATATACCCATCGGTATGAGGAACATTGCAGCTTCTGTCGCAAAGTGTGTTATGGCTGTCGGTAACGGATAAAGAGTAGCCTATACCCATCGGTATGAGAGGTACTGACACAGCTTCTGTCGCAAAGTGTGTTATGGCCGTCGGTAACGGATAAAGAGTAGCCACTATACCCATCGGTATGAGGTACCGACACAGCTTCAGTCGCAAAGTGTTATGGCCGTCTGTAACGGGATAAAAAAGAGTAGCCACTATACCCATCGGTATGAGGTACTGACACAGCTTCTGTCGTGCGTGTTATGGTGTCGGTAACAGGATAAAGAGTAGCCACTATACCCATCGGTATGAGGTACTGACACAGCTTCTGTCGCAAAGTGTGTTATGGCTGTCGGTAACGGATAAAGAGTAGCCACTATACCCATCGGTATGAGGTACCGACACAGCTTCTGTCGCAAAGTGTGCCACCATACCCATTATGAGGCTGTCGGCAACGGGGATAAAGAGTAGCCAATATACCCATCGGTATGAGGTACCGGACATCAGCTTCTGTCGCAAAGTGTGTTATGGCTGTCGGTAACTGGGAAAAGAGTAGCCACTATACCCATCGGTATGAGGAACTGACACAGCTTCTCGGTATGAGGTCGCAAAGTGTGTTGTTGGCTGTCAGTAACGGGATAAAGTAGCCACCATACCCATCGGTATGAGGTACTGACACAGCTTCGTCGCAAAGTGTGTTATGGCTGTCGGTAACAGGGATAAAGAGTAGCCACTATACCCATCGGTATGAGGTACTGACACAGCTTCTGTCGCAAAGTGTGTTATGGCTGTCGGTAACAGGATAAAAAAGTAGCCACTATACACATCGGTATGAGGAACCGACAGCTTCTGTCGCAAAGTGTGTTATGGCTGTCGGTAACGGGATAAAGAGTGGCCACTATACCCCATCGGTATGAGGTACCGACACAACTTCTGTCGCAAAAAGTGTATTATGGCTGTCGGTAACGGGGATAAAGAGTAGCCACTATACCCATCGGTATGAGGAACTGACACAGCTTCTGTCGCAAAGTGTGTTACTGGCTGTCGGTAACAGGATAAAGAGTAAGCCACTACCCCATCAGTATGAATTACTGACACAGCTTCTGTCGCAAAGTGTGTTATGGCTGTCTGTAACAGGATAAAGAGTAGCCACTATACCCATCGGTATGAGGTACTGACACAGCTTCTGTCGCAAAGTGTGTTATGGCTGTCAGTAACGGGATAAGAGTAGCCACTATACCCATCGGTATGAGGAACTGACACAGCTTCTGTCGCAAACGGGATAAAGAGTGTGTTATGGCTGTCTGTAACAGGATAAAGAGTAGCCACTATACCCATCGGTATGAGGTACTGACACAGCTTCTGTCGCAAAGTGTGTTATGGCCGTCTGTAACAGGATAAAAGAGTAGCCACTATACCCATCGGTATGGGAGGTACTGACACAGCTTCTGTCGCAAAGTGTGTGTTATGGCTGTCTGTAACGGGATAAAAATAAAGAGTAGCCACTATACCCATCGGTATGAGGAACTGACACAGCTTCTGTCACCAAAGTGTGTTATGGCTGTCTGTAACGGGATAAAAGTAGCCACTATAACCCATCGGTATGAGGTACTGACACAGCTTCTGTCGCAAAGTGTGTTATGGCCGTCTGTAACGGATAAAAGAGTAGCCACTATACCCATCGGTATGAGGTACTGGACACAGCTTCTGTCGCAAAGTGTGTTATGGCTGTCGGTAACGGGAAGAGTAGCCACTATACCCATCGGTATGAGGAACTGACACAGCTTGTCGCAAAGTGTGTTATGGCTGTCGGTAACGGATAAAGAGTAGCCACTATACCCATCGGTATGAGGTACCGACACAGCTTCGTCGGAAAGTGCATCGCAAAGATAAAGAGGTTAATGGCACCAAATGAGGGTACTGACACAGCTTCTGTCGCAAAACGGGTCTGTAACGGGGATAAAGAGTGCCACCATACCATCGGTGAGGTACGACACAGCTTCTGTCGCAAAGTGTTATATGGCCGGTTCGTAACGGACAAAGAGTAGCCACTATACCCATCGGTATGAGGTACTGACACAGCTTCTGTCGCAAAGAGGTTATGGCTGTCGGTAACGGATAAAGAGTAGCCACTATACCCATCGGTATGAGGAACTGACACAGCTTCTGTCGCAAAGTGTGTTATGGCTGTCGGTAACAGGATAAAATAGCCACTATACCCATCGGTATGAGGTACTGACAGCTTCTGTCGCAAAGTGTGTTGCGGCTGTCGGTAACGGAGAAAAGAGTAGCCACTATACCCATCGGTATGAGGTACTGACACAGCTTCTGTCGCAAAGTGTGTTATGGCTGTCGGTAACGGATAAAAAGAGTAACCTATAGCCACGGTATACACCATCGGTCGCAAACTGTGTGAGGTACCGAGCCACACCCATCGGTCTGTCGCTTCTGTCGCGATATTTATGGCCGTCTGTAACGGGATAAAGAGTAGCCACTATACCCATCGGTATGAGGAACTGACACCCTTCTGTCGCAAAGTGTGTTATGGCTGTCTGTAACGGGATAAAGAGTAGCCTATACCCATCGGTATGAATTACTGACACAGCTTCTGTCGCAAAGTGTGTTATGGCTGTCTGTAACGGGATAAAAGAGCAGCCACTATACCCATCGGTATGAGGTACCGACAACTTCTGTCGCAAAGTGTAATTGCGGCTGTCGGTAACGGATAAAGAGTAGCCACCATAACCCATCGGTATGAGGTGTACTGACACAGCTTCTGTCGCAAAAGGTGTTATGGCTGTCGGTAACGGGAAAGAAGAGTAGCCACTATACCCATCGAAAGGAGGTACCGACACAGCTTCTGTCATAAAGTGTGTTATGGCTGTCTGTAACGGATAAAGAGTAAAGCCACTATACCCATCAGTATGAGGAACCGACAACTTCTGTCGCAAAAGTGTATTTATGGCTGTCGGTAACGGATAAAGAGTAGCCACTATACCCATCGGCATGAGGTACCTTCTGTCGCAAAGAGTGTGTTATGGCTGCCATCGGTAACGTAACCACTATACCCATCTGGTATGTCGCAAAGTGTGTTATGGCTGTCGGTAACGGGATAAGAGTAGCCACTATACCCATCGGTATGAGGTACTGACAGCTTCTGTCGCAAAGTGTGTTATGGCCGTCTGTAACAGGGATAAAGAGTAGCCACTATACCCATCGGTATGAGGTACTGGACGGTAACAGGATTAACCTGTCGCAAAGTGTTATGGCCTGTCATAAAGGTAACGGGTCATAAAGAGTAGCCACTATACCCATCGGTATGAGGAACTGACACAGCTTCTGTCGCAAAGTGTGTTATGGCTGTCGGTAACAGGATAAAGAGTAGCCACTATACCCATCGGTATGAGGTACCGACACAGCTTCTGTCAAAGTGTTTATGGCTGTCGGTAACGGGATAAAGAGTAGCCACTTACCCCATCGGTATGGCCGTCTGTAAGTGGATGGCTGTCAGTAACGGATAAAGTAGCCACTATACCCATCGGTATGAGGTACTGACACAGCTTCTGTCGCAAAGTGTGTTATGGCTGTCGGTAACAGGATAAAGAGTACCCATCTATACCCATCGGTGCGGCTGTGAGGTAGCCACTGACATCAGCTTCTGTCGCAAAGTGTGTTATGGCTGTCGGTAACAGGATAAAGAGTAGCCACTATACCCATCGGTATGAGGTACTGACACAGCTTCGTCGCAAAGTGTGTGGCTGTCGTAACGGATAAAGAGTAGCCACTATACCCATCGGTAAAGGAACCGACAGCTTGTGCAAAGTGTGTTATGGCTGTCGGTAACGGGATAAAGAGGCCACCATACCCATCGGTATGAGGTACCGACACAGCTTCTGGTCGCAAATGTGTTATGGCTGTCGGTAAATGACAAAGAGTAGCCACTATACCCATCGGTATGAGAACCGACACAGCTTGTCGCAAAGTGTGTTATGGCTACGGTAACGGGATAAAGAGGCCACTACACATCGGTATGAGGAATTGACACAGCTTCTGTCGCAAAGCGTGTTATGGCTGTCGGTCGGTAAAGGAGCCAAACCATCGGTATGAGGTACCACGCAAAGTGTGTTACCCATCGGTAACGGATAAAGGTAGCCACGACCCACGGTATGAGGCTGACACAGTCGTCAAAGTGTGTTATGGCTGTCGGTAACGGTTAAAGAGTAAGCCACTATACCCATCGGTATGAGGTACCGACACAGCTTCTGTCGCAAAGTGTTATGGCTGTCGGTAACGGATAAAGAGTAGCCACTATACCCATCGGTATGAGAACTGACACAGCTTCTGTCGCAAAGTGGTTATGGCTGTCGGTAACGGGATAAAGAGTAGCCACTATACCCATCGGCATGAGGCACCGACACAGCTTGTCGCAAAGTGTTATGGCTGTCGGTAACGGGATAAAGAGGTTACTATACCCATCGGTGGCTGAGGAACTGACACAGCTTCTGTCGCAAAGTGTGTTATGGCTGTCGGTAACGGATAAAGAGTAGCCACTATACCCATCGGTATGAGGAACCGACACAGCTTCCCCGTCGCAAAGTGTGTTATGGTTGTCGGTAACGGATAAAGAGTAGCCACCATACCCATCGGTATGAGGGTAATTGACACAGCTTCTGGTCGCAAAGTGTGTTATGGCTGTCGGTAACGGATAAAGAGGCCACTTATACCCATCGGTATGAGGTACCGACAGCTTCGTCGCAAAGTGTGCGCGGCTGTCGGTAACGGATAAAGAGTAGCCACTATACCCATCGGTATGAGGCGACACAGCTTCTGTCGCAAAGTGTGTTATGGCTGTCGGTAACGGATAAAGAGTAGCCACTATACCCATCGGTATGAGGTACTGACACAGCTTCTGTCGCAAAGTGTGTTATGGCTGTCGGTAACGGATAAAGAGTAGCCACTATACCCCATCGGTATGAGGTACCGACACAGCTTCTGTCGCAAAGTGTGTTATGGCTGTCGGTAACAGGATAAAGAGTAGCCACTATACCCATCGGTATGAGGTACCGACACAGCTTCTGTCGCAAAGTGTGTTATGGCTGTCTGTAACGGATAAAAAGTAGCCACTATACCCATCGGTATGAGTAAACCGACACAGCTTCTGTCGCAAAGTGTGTTATGGCTGTCGGTATGAGGTACTGACACAGGTCGCAAAGTGTGTTATGGCTGTCGGTAACGGGATAAAAGTAGCCACTATACCCATCGGTATGTACTGGCAGCTTCTGTCGCAAAGTGTGTTATGGCTGTCGGTAACAGCTTCTGTCGCAACGTATGAGGAACTGACACCGTTTCTGTCGCAAAGTGTGTTATGGCTGTCGGTAACGGATAAAGAAGAGGCAATTATACCCATCGGTATGAGGTACCGACACAGCTTCTGTCGCAAAGTGTTATGGTTGTCGGTAACGGATAAAGAGTCCAGCCAATATACCCATACGTATGAGGAACTGACACGCTTCGTCGCAAAGTGTGTTAATGGTTGTCGGTAAGGGATAAAGAGTAGCCACTATACCCATCGGGTATGAGGTACCGACACAGCTTCTGTCGCAAAGTGTGCTATGCTGTCGGTAACGGATAAAGAGTAGCCACTATACCCATCGGCATGAGGTAACCGACACAGCTTCTGTCGCAAAAAGTGTTATGGCTGTCGGTAACGGATAAAAGTAGCATTCATCGGTATGAGGAACTGACACACAGCCGTCGCAAAGTGTTATGGAGTCGGTAACGGATAAAGAGTAGCCACTATACCCATCGGTATGAGGTCGCACAGCTTGTATCGACAAAGTATGTTTGCAAATGTTATATACGTATCGTAACGGATAAAGAATAAGCCACAATACCCATCGGTATGAGGTACCGACACAGCCACGGTCGCAAAATGTGTTATGGTCGGTAACTGGGTAAAGACGGACAAAGGAACTAACACAGCTAATACCCATCGGTACGAGGAACCATTGACACTGTACAGCCAGCTTGGATAAACAACCAATATGCCAATCGCAAAGCTATGTTTTTAAAATGTTTATGTCTGTCGGTAACTGGATAAAGATAGCCACTATACCCATCGGTATGAGGAACTGACACAGCTTCTGTCGCAAAGTGTGTTATGGCCGTCTGTAACGGGATAAAGAGTAGCCACTATACCCCATCGGTATGAGGTACCGACACAGCTTCTGTCGCAAAGTGTGTTATGGCTGTCGGTAACGGATAAAGAGTAGCCACTATACCCATCGGTGGAGGAACTGACACAGCTTCTGTCGCAAAGTGTGTGGCTGTCAAAGGATGTAGCCACTATACCCATCGGTTGAGGAACGACAGCTCTGGGTCGCAAAAGTTATGGTCAACGGTAACGGGATAAGAGTAGCCACTCATACCCATCGGTATGAGGAACTGACACAGCTTCTGTCGCAAAGTGTGTTATGGCTGTCGGTAACGGATAAAGAGTACCACCATACCCATCTGAGGTAACCCAGCTTCTGGTAAGGATGGTCGGTACGGACACATATACCCACGGTCTGCACGACACAAAGCCGGTGCGTGTTATGGCTGTCGGTAACGGGATAAAGAGTAGCCACCATACCCAATCGGTATGAGGTACCGACACACGGTCGCAAAGTGTGTTATGGCTGTCGGTAACGGGATAAAGAGTAGCCACCATACCCATCGGTATGAGGAACCGACACAGCTTCTGTCCCAAAGTGTGTTATGGCTGTCTGTAACGGGATAAAGAGTAGCCACTATACCCATCGGTATGAGGTACTGACACAGCTTCTGTCGCAAAGTGTGTTATGGCCGTCTGTAACGGATAAAGAGTAGCCACCATACCCATCGGTATGAGGTACTGACACAGCTTCTGTCGCAAAGTGTGTTGCGGCTGTCGGTAACGGACAAAGAGTAGCCACTATACCCATCAGTATGAGGTGAACGACACAGCTTCTGTCGCAAAGCGTGTTGCGGCTGTTGGTAACGGGAAAAAGAGGCCACCATACCCATCGGCTATGAGTACCGACACAGCTTCTCTGTCGCAAAGGTGTTATGGCTGTCGGCAACGGACAAAGAGTAGCCACTATACCATCGGTATGAGGTACTGACACAGCTTCTGTCGCACGTGTTAAGTGGGCTGTCGGTAATGGATAAAGAGTAGCCACTATACCATCGGTATGAGGAACTGACAGCTTCGTCGCAAATGTTATGGCTGTCGGTAACGGATAAAGAGTAGCCACCATACCCATCGGTATGAGGGTACTGACACAGTTGTCGCAAAGTAAAGCGGCGGTTGTCGGTAACGGGATAAAGAGGTAGCCACCATACCCATCGGTATGAGGAACCGACACAGCTTCTGTCGCAAAGTGTGTTATGGCTTCGTCGGTAACGGGATAAAGAGTATTACCATACCCATCGGTATGAGGTACTGACACAGCTCTGTCGCAAAGTGTGTTGCTATTGTCGGTAACGGATAAAGAGTGTTACCATACCCATCGGTATGAGGTACCGACACAGCTTCTGTCGCCAAAGTGTGTTATGGCTGTCGGTAACGGGATAAAGAGCAGCCACTATAACTGCATCGCGGTATATGTTTGCGTAACGGACAAAGAGGTACTGCGAGGAACTGACACAGCTTCTGTCGCAAAGTGTGTTATGGCTGTCGTAACGGATAAAGAGGCCACTATACCCATCGGTATGAGGTACCGACAGCTTCTGTCGCAAAGTGTGTTATGGCTGTCGGTAACGGGATAAAGAGTAGCCACTATACCCATCGGTATGAAGCACACTGTCGACACAGTTATGGCCGTCTGTCGCAAAAGTGTTATGGCTGTCCTTCTGTAAAAGGATAAAAAAGTAGCCACTATACCCATCGGTATGATTACTGACACAGCTTCTGTCGCAAAAGTGTGTTATGGCTGTCTGTAACGGGATAAAGAGTAGCCACTATACCCATCGGTATGAGGAACAACACAGCTTCTGTCGCAAAAAGTGTGTTATGGCTGTCGGTAACAGGATAAAGAGTAGCCAATATACCCATCGGTATGAGGAACTTTGACATGAGCTTACTGACACTTCTGTCGCAAAGTGTGTATGGCTGTCGGTAACGGGATAAAGAGCCACTATAGCCATCGGTATGAGGAACTGACACAGCTTCTGTCTTAAAGTGTTTTATGGCTGTCGGTAACGGGATAAAGTAGCCCACTATACACATCGGTATGAATCTGTCTTGGCTTCTGTCGCAAAGTGTGTTATGGCTGTCGGTAACGGGATAAAAGGTAGCCACTATACCCATCGGTATGAGGTACTGACACAGCTTCTGTCGCAAAGTGTGTTATGGCTGTCGGTAACGGATAAAAGAGTAGCCTATACCACATCGGTATGAGGTACTGACACAGCTTCTGTCGCAAAGTGTGTTATGGCTGTCGGTAACAGGATAAAGAGTAGCCACTATACCCATCGGTATGACACAGCTTCTGTCGCAAAGTGTGTTATATGTTTGTCGGTAACGGGATAAAGAGTAGCCACTATACCCCATCGGTACTGACACAGCTTCTGTCGGTGTTATGGCCTGTAACATACCCCATCGGTATTACTGACACAGCTTCTGTCAAAGTGTGTTATGGCTGTCAGTAACGGATAAAAGCCACTATACCCATCGGTATGAGAAGTGCGGCAGCTTCTGTCGCAAAGTATGTTATGGGTAACACTGGGATAAAAAGGTGCCACTATACCCCCATCAGCCACAACTTCTGTCGCAAAGTGTGTTATGGCTGTCTGTAACGGGATAAAGAGTAGCCAGCTTCTATACCCATCGGTAGCGAGGTATCTGACACAGCTTCTGTCGCAAAGTGTGTTATGGCTGTCTGGTAACGGATAATGAGTAGCCACTATACCCATCGGTATGAGGTACTGACAGCTTCTGTCGCAAAGTGTGTTATGGCTGTCGGTAACGGGATAAAGCTTCTGTCCCCAAAGTGTGTTATGGCCACGGGATAAAAAATAGCCCATCGGTATGAGGTACTGACAGCTTCTGTCTCAAAGTGTGTTTATGGCTGTCGGTAACGAGATAAAGAGTAGACCAGCTTCTGTCATAAATACCCATCGGTAATGAGGTACCGACACAGCTTCTGGTCGCAAAGTGTGTTATGGCTGTCTGTAACAGGATAAAGAGTAGCCACTGTATACTGTCGGTAACGGTATGAGGTACTGACACAGCTTCTGTCGCAAAGTGTGCGGTGGCTGTCGGTACCGAGACAAAAGAGCCACTATACCCATCGGTATGAGGTACGACACAGCTTCTGTCGCAAAAGTGTATTATATCTGTCAATAACGGATAAAGAGTATTACCATACCCATCGGTATGCGAGGTAACGACACAGCCTTGCCGCAAAGTGCAAGTTATGGCTGTCGGCAACGGGATAAAGAGTAGCCACTATACCCATCGGTATGAGGAACTGACAGCAGCTTCTGTCGCAAAGTGTGTTGCGGCTGTCGGTAATGGGATAAAGAGTAGCCACTATACCCATCGGTAAGCGATGGGTACCGACACAGCCTGGGTCGGTGTAGCGTGTTATGGCCGTCTGTAACGGATAAAGAATAGCCACTATACCCATCGGTATGAGGTACCGACAGCTTCTGGTCGCAAAGTGTGTTATGGCTGTCGGTAACGGATAAAGAGTATTACCATACCATCGGCGGCGAGGAACTGACACAGCTTCGTCGCAAAGTGTGTTGCTGCGTACGTCGGTAACGTGGTTAAAGAGTAGCCACCATACCCATCGGTACAGGTACCGACACAGCTTCGTCGCAAAGTGTGTTATGGCTGTCGGTAACGGATAAAGAGTACGACAGGGTACCGACACCACTGTCGCAAAGTGTGTTATGGCCCGGTAACGGATAATGAGGTACGAAGAGGAACTGACACAGCTTCTGTCCCAAAGTGTGTTATGGCTGTCGGTAACGGGATAAAGAGCAGCCACTATAATGCATCGGTATGAGGAACTGACACAGCTTCTGTCGCAAAAGTGTTGGCGGCGTAACGGGATAAAGAGTAGCCACTATACCCATCGGTATGAGGTACCGGGACACAGCTTTGTCGCACAGCGTGTTATGGCTGTCGGTAACGGATAAAGAGTGGCGCCACCATACCCATCGGTATGAGGAACCGACACAGCTTCTGGTCGTGCGTGTTGCGGCTGTCGGTAACGGATAAAAGAGTAGCCACTATACCCATCGGTATGAGTAGCCACTATCTGTCTTAAAGTGTGTTATCGTCTGTAACAGGATGAGTAGCCCTATACCCATCGGTATGACACAGCTTCTGTCGCAAAAGTGTGTTATGGCTGTCAGTAACGGGATAAAAAGTAGCCACTATACCCATCGGTATGAGGTACTGACACAGCTTCTGTCCGCAAAGTGTGTTATGGCTGTCGGTAACAGGATAAAGAGTAGCCACTATACCCATCGGTATGAGGAACTGACACAGCTTCTGTCCCAAAGTGTGTTATGGCCGTCGGTAACGGGATAAAGAGTAGCTTACTGCTACATCCATCGGTATGGAGGTTCTGTCATACAGTGTGTTATGGCCGTCTGTGTCAGGCAAAGTGTGTTATGGCTGTCATAAAGTGTACCGGTAACGGGATGAGGTAGCCATATACCCATCGGTATGAGGTACTGACAGCTTCTGTCGCAAAGTGTTTTTGCGGTCGGTAACGGATAAAGAGGTACTGACACAACTTCTGTCTTAAAATATGGCTCTCGGTAACGGGATCGGTAATACTATGGTGAACTGACACAGCTTCTGTCGCAAAGTGTGTTATGGCTGTCTGTAACGGGATAAAAGAGTAGCCACTATACCCATCGGTATGAGGTACTGACACAGCTTCTGTCGCAAAAGTGTTATGGCTGTGTAACAGGATAAGAGTAGCCAATACCCATGTGTATGAGGAACTGACACAGCTTCTGTGTGTTATGGCCGTCTGTAACGGGATAAAGAGTAGCCACTATACCCATCGGTATGAGGTACTGACACAGCTTCTGTCGCAAAGTGTGTTATGGCTGTCTGTAACAGGATAAAGAGTAGCCACTATACCCATCGGTATGAGGAACTGACACAGCTTCTGTCGCAAAGTGTGTTATTATGGCTGTAACGGGATAAAAAAGTAGCCACTATACCCATCGGTATGAGGTAACAGCTTCTGTCGCAAAGTGTTATGGCTGTCTGTAACGGGATAAAGAGTAGCCCTATACCCATCGGTATGAGGTACTGACACAGCTCTGTCGCAAAGTGTGTTATGGCTGTCTGTAACGGGATAAAAGAGTAGCCCGGCACCCATCGGTATGAGGTACTGAGCACAGCTTACTGTCGCAAAGTGTGTTATAGCTGTCGGTAACGGGAAGAGTAGCCACTATACGCATCGGTATAGGAACAGCACAGCTTCTGTCGCAAAGTGTGTTATGGCTGTCGGTAACGGACAAAGAGTAGCCACCATACCCATCGGTAGAGGTACCTGACACAGCTTCTATGCAAAGTGTGTTATGGCTGTCGGTAACGGGATAAAGAGTAGCCACTATACCCATCGGTATGAGGCACTGACAGCTTCTATCGCAAATGCGTGTTATGGCTGTCGGTAACGGGATAAGAGGCCCTTATGCCCATCGGTGGCGAGGGAACTCGACACCTTCGTCGCAAAGTGTGTTATGGCTGTCGGTAACGGGATAAAGAGTAGCCACTATACCCATCGGTATGAGGAACTGACAGCTTCTGGTCGCAAAGTGCGTTGCGGCTGTCGGTAACGGATAAAGAGCCACCATACCCACGGTATGAGGAACTGAATAGTGCGCGGCTGTCGGTAACGGGATAATGAGGAACCCATCGGTATGACACGACACTGTCGCAAAGTGTGTTATGTACGTCTGTAACGGATAAAGAGTAGCCACTATACCCATCGGTATGAGGTACCGACAGCTTCTGTCGCAAAGTGTTGGTGGTCGGTAACGGATAAACGGGACAGCACCATCGGTATGGGAGGTACTGACAGCTATACCTGTCGGTAACGGATAAAGAGTAGAACCGACACGAGGAACTGACTGCCGTCCCAAAGTGTGTTAAGTGGCTGTCGGTAACGGGATAAAGAGTAGCCACTATACCCATCGGTATGGCGAGGTACCGACACAGCTTCTGTCGCAAAGTGTGGTGGCTGTCGGTAACGGACAAAGAGTAGCCACCATACCATCGGTATGAGGTGGGTACACAGCCGTCGCAAAGTGTGTTATGGCTTGTCGGTAACGGATAAAGAGTAGCCACCATACCCATCGGTATGAGGAACTGACACAGCTTCGTCGCAAAGTGTGTTATGGCTGTCGGTAACGGACAAAGAGTAGCCACGGCACCCATCGGCGAGGTACCGACACAGCTTCTGTCGCAAAGTGTGTTATGGCTGTCGGTAACGGGATAAAGATCGCAGGCGAGGTACTGACACAGCTACTGTCGCAAAGTGTGTTATGGCTGTCGGTAACGGTCACTATACCCATCGGTATGAGGTACCGACACAGCTTCTGTCGCAAAGTGTGTTATGGCTGTCGGTAACGGATAAAAGTAGCCACTATACCCATCGGTATGAGGAACTGACACAGCTTCTGTCGCAAAAGTGTGTTATGGCTGTCGGTAACATCGGATAAAGAGTAGCCACTATACCCATCGGTATGAGGTACTGACACAGCTTCTGTCGCAAAAGTGTGTTATGGCTGTCGGTAACGGGATAAAGAGTAGCCACTATACCCATCGACACGTATGTGTTATGGCTGTCGGTAACTGACACATCGGTTCTTCTGTCGCAAAGTGTGTTATGGCTGTCGGTAACGGGATAAAAAAGGTAGCCACTATACCCATCGGTATGAGGAACTGACATGAGCTTCTGTCGCAAAGTGTGTTATGGCTGTCGGTAACGGGATAAAGAGTAGCCACTATACCCATCGGTATGAGGAACTGACACAGCTTCTGTCGCAAAGTGTGTTATGGCTGTCGGTAACGGGATAAAGAGTAGCCACTATACCCATCGGTATGAGGTACTGACACAGCTTCTGTCGCAAAGTGTGTTATGGCTGTCGGTAACGGGATAAAGAGTAGCCACTATACCCATCGGTATGAGGAACTGACACAGCTTCTGTCGCAAAGTGTGTTATGGCTGAGGGTCGGTAACAGGATAAAAAGAGTAGCCCTATACCCATCGGTATGAGGTACTGACACAGCTTCTGTCGCAAAGTGTGTGTAACGGGATAGTAGCCACTGTCCATCGGTATAACGGCTTCTGTCGCAAAGTGTTTTATGGCTGTCGGTAACGGGACTATATACCCATCGGTATGAGGTACCGACACAGCTTCTGTCGCAAAAAGTGTGTTATGGCCGTCTATACTAACGGATAAAGAGTGTAGCCTATATACCCATCGGTATGAGGTACCAACGCTTCTGTCGCAAAGTATGTTATAGCTGTCTGTAACAGGATAAAAGTAGCCACTATACCCATCGGTATGAGGTACTGACACAGCTTCTGTCGCAAAGTGTGTGGCGTGGCTGTCGGTAACGGATAAGGGTAGCCACTATACCCATCGGTATGAGGTACCGACACAGCTTCTGTCGCAAAAGTGTGTTATGGCTGTCGGTAACGGATAAAAGAGTAGCCACTATACCCATCGGTATGAGGAACTGACACAGCTTCTGTCCCAAAGAAAAGTGGCGGTTGTCGGTAACGGGATAAAGAGTAGCCACTATACCCATCGGTATGAGGTACTGACACAACTTCTGTCGCCAAAGTGTGTTATGGCTGTCGGTAACGGATAAAGAGTAGCACTATACCCATCGGTATGGTGAACTGACACAGCTTCTGTCGCAAAATTGTGTTATGGTTGTCGGTAACGGATAAAGAGTAGCCACTATGCCCATCGGTATGAGGAACTGACACAGCTTCTGTCGCAAAAGTGTGTTATGGCTGTCGGTAACGGATAAAGAGTAGCCACTATACCCATCGGTATGAGGTACTGACACAGCTTCTGTCGCAAAGTGTGTTATGGCTGTCGGTATGGGGCCACTATACCCATCGGTATGAAGACCACAGCTTCTGTCCACGGTAACGGGATAAAGAGTAGCCACCCATCGGTATGAGGTACCGACACAGCTTCTGTCGCAAAGTGTGTTATGGCTGTCGGTAACGGGATAAAGAGTAGCCACTATACCCATCGGTATGAGGAACTGACACAGCTTCTGTCGCAAAGTGTGTTATGGCTGTCGGTAACGGGATAAAGAGTAGCCACTATACCCATCGGTGAGGTACCGACAGCTTCTGTCGCAAAGTGTGTTATGGCCGTCTGTAACAGGATAAAGAATAGCCACTATACCCATCGGTATTCTGACACAGCTTCTGTCGCAAAGTGTGTTATGGCCGTCTGTAACAGGATAAAGAGTAGCCACTATACCCATCGGTATGAGGAACTGACACAGCTTCTGTCGCAAAGTGTGTTATGGCTGTCAGTAACGGGATAAAGAGGCCACTATACCCATCAGTATGAGGAGGTACTGACACAGCTTCTGTCGCAAAGTGTGTTATGGCTGTCGGTAACGGGATAAAAGTAGCCACTATACATCGGTATGAGGAACTGACACAGCTTCTGTCGCAAAGTGTTTCGGTAACGGATAAAGAGTAGCCACTATACCCATCGGTATGAGGTACTGCCCAAAGTGTGTACTGTCGCACAGCTTCTGTCGCAAAGTGTGTTATGGCTGTCGGTAACGGGAAAAAGAGTAGCCACTATACCCATCGGTATGAAGGAACTGACACAGCTTCTGTCGCAAAGTGTGTTATGGCTGTCGGTAACGGGATAAAGCACCCATCGGTATGAGTACCACTCATAAAGTGTGTTACCCATCTGTAACGGGATAAAGGTAGCCACTATACCCATCGGTATGAGGAACTGACACAGCTTCTGTCGCAAAGTGTGTTATGGCTGTCGGTAACAGGATAAAAAGTAGCCACTATACCCATCGGTATGAGGTACTGACACAGCTTCTGTCGCAAAGTGTGTTATGGCCGTCTGTAACGGGATAAAGAGCAGCCACTATACCCATCGGTATGAGGCACTGACACAGCTTCTGTCGCAAAGTGTGTTATGGCTGTCGGTAACGGATAAAGAGTAGCCACCATACCCATCGGTATGAGGTAACTGACACAGCTTGTCGCAAAGTGGTGTTATGGCTGTTTGTAACGGGATAAAGAGTAGCCACTATACCCATCGGTATGAGGAACCGACATGCTTCGGGTCCCAAAGTGTGCTATGGCTGTCTGTAACGGATAAAGAGTAGCCACTATACCCATCAGTATGGAGGAACTGACACAGCTTCTGTCGCAAAGTGTTATGGTTGTCGGTAACGGATAAAAAGAGTAGCCACTATACCCATCGGTATGAGGTACTGACAGCCGTCGCAAAGTGTGTTATGGCTGTCGGTAACGGATAAAGAGTAGCCACTATACCCATCGGTATGAGGTACTGACACAGCTTTTTCGTAAAGTGTGTTATGGCTGTTCAAACGGATAAAGAGAATACTATACCCATCGGTATGAGGTACTGGCCAGCTTCTGTCGCAAAGTGTGTTATATCTGTCAATAACGGATAAAAGAGGTGCCACTATACCCATCGGTATGAGGAACTGACACAGCTTCTGTCGCAAAGTGTGTTATGGCTGTCGGTAACGGGATAAAGAGTAGCCACCATACCCATCGGTATGAGGTACTGACACAGCTTCACGCAGCGCGTGTTATGGCTGTCGGTAACGGATAAAGAGTAGCCACTATACCCATCGGTATGAGGAATCAACAGCTTCTGTCGCAAAGTGTGTTATGGCTGTCTGTAAATGGACAAAGAGTAGCCACGTATACCCATCGGTATGAGGTACTGACACAGCTTCGTCGCAAAGTGTGCGGCGGCCGTCCGTAACGGATAAAGAGTATTTACCATACCATCAGGCGAGGTACCGACACAGCTTCTTGTCGCAAAAGTGTAAGCGGCGGCATCAGTAATGAGAATACTATACCCATCGGTATGAGGTACTGACAGCTTCTGTCGCAAAGTGTGTTATGGCTGTCGGTAACGGATAAAAGAGTAGCCACTATACCCATCGGTATGAGGAACTGACACAGCTTCTGTCGCAAAGTGTGTTGCTGGCTGTCGGTAACGGGATAAAGAGTAGCCCCATACCCATCGGTATGAGGTAATTTGACACAGCTTCTGTCCCCAAAAGTGTTATGGCTGTCGGTAACGGATAAAGAGTAGCCACTATACCCATCGGTATGAGGAAACAACAGCTTCTGTCGCAAAGTGTGTTATGGCTGTCGGTAACAGTATAAAGAGTAGCCACTATACCCATCGGTATGAGGTACTGACACAGCTTCTGTCGCAAAGTATGCGGAAAACATCATTAACGGATAAGGGTAACCACTATACCCATCGGTATGAGGAACCGACACAGCTTCTGTCGCAAAGTGTGTTATGGCGGCTGTCGGTAACGGGATAAAAGAGAATAACTATACCCATCGGTATGAGGTACTGACAGAGCTTCTGTCGCAAAGTGTGTTATGGGCCGTCTGTAACAGGATAAAGAGTAGCCACTATACCCATCAGTATGAAACTTGACACAGCTTCTGTCGCAAAAATTGTATTTATGGCTGTCGGTAACGGGATAAGTAGCCACTATACCCATCGGTATGAGGAACTGACACAGCTTCTGTGTGGGATTATGGCTGTCGGTATGAGGGATAAGCTTCTGGTAGCCACTATACCCATCGGTATGAGGTACTGACACAGCTTCTGTCGCAAAGTGTGTTATGGCTGTCGGTAACGGGATAAAAAGAGTAGCCACACTATACCCCATCAGTATGAGGTACTGACACAGCTTCATCAAAAGTGTTATGGCCGTCTGTAACAGGATAAAGTAGCCACTATACCCATCGGTATGAGCTTCTGCTTCTGTCGCAAAGTGTGTTATGGCTGTCGGTAACAGGATAAAAAAGTAGCCACTATACCCATCGGTATGAAGTTACCTTCACTGTTACACAGTAACGGGATTCTATACCCATCGGTATGAGGGCACACCTTCTGTCGCAAAGTGTGTGTTATGGCTGTCGGTAAACAGGATAAGGAACTGACACAGTTTGTCGCAAAATCGCAACGGATAAAGAGAATACCGCTCGGTATGAGGAACCGACACAGCTTCTGTCGCAAAGTGCGTGGCTGTCGGTAACGGGATATGGCACCATCTGTCATTGGCGGCTCGGTAACGGACAAAAGTAGCCACTATACCCATCGGTATGGCGGTACCGACACAGCTTCTGTCGCAAAGTGTGTTAT